ATTCGCAAAAATGTACCAAATCTCAATTCCAGATACCAACAGAGATCTCAATATCAAATTTGAGAATTTTAGAATTCGAGCACTATCTGTTCTCCCCATACGAAATTGTACCCAATATAGTGCTATTCCTTATCCCTTAACTCAACGCCAAATGTAGTAACATTTTGTACTTTTCCTACAAATATTGGACGCATTTCCAAAACCACCTCCATATCTCAATTCCAGATACCAACAGTGACGTCTAAATCAAAAGTTCGGGATTTTAGCTCCATTTCTTTACCCAATACCACATTTAGTACCATTCAGTACTTTTCGCACAATCATAATACACATTTCCGAATACAACCACATAACTCCAGGCTGTACATGAACAGCTACTCTAATACCCAATTCCAGATTTTAAGCACTGTCTGTTCACTTAATACCAAAATGTACCAAATATAGTACCATTTACTACTGTACTTTTGGAATAATTATAGTTCACATTTCCAAACCCACCCCCATATCTCAATTTCAGACACCAACAGAGAACTTAATATCAAATTTCAGAATTGTATCTATATTACTTCACCCAATACTAAATTTAGTACCATTTAGTACTTTTCTTGCAATTATAAGACACATTTCCGAAACTCCCTCCATTTGTCCAGTCTACACATGAACAGTACCCCTAATACCTAATTTCAGATTTTAAGCACTATCCTTTCATCAATACCAAATTGTTCCAAATAAAGTACTATTTAGTACTTTTCGTGCACTTTTAGTACACATTTCCATATTCACCTTCAGAACTCAATTCCAGACACCGACAGAGATCTGAATATCAAATTTCAGAATTTTGTGTCTTTGTCAATACCAAATTTAGTACCATTAACTACTGTTTGTACATTTATAGTACACATTTCCAAAACCACCTCCATATCTAAATTCCAGATACCAACAGTGACGTCTAAATCAAAAGTCCGGGATTTTAGCTCTATTTCTTTAACCAATACCCAATTTAGTACCATTAGGTAATTTTCGTACAATTATAGTAGACACTTTGAAAACCACCTCTATATGTCCAAGTTACAAATAAACTGCGACGCTAATACCAAATTTAAGATTTCTGTTCACTTAATACCAAATTTTACCAAATATAGTACTATTAAGTACTGTTTGTACAATTATAGTTCACATTTCCAAATCCACCATCCACGTCTCAATTCTAGGCATCAACAGAGAACTTAGTATTAAATTTCAGAATTTTATCTCTATCCCTCAACCCAATATCAAATTTAGTAACATTTAGTACTTTTTGTACAAATTTAGGACGAATTTTTGAAAACACCTCCATTTGCCCAGTCAACACATGAATAGCGTCCCTATTACCAAATGTCATATTTCAAGCACTATCTCTTCACCCAATACCAAATTGTACCGAATATGGCACTATTTAGTACCGTTCGTAAAATTATAGTTCACATTTCCAAATCCACCATCCACGTCTCAAATTCCAGACATCAACAGGGATCTCAATATCAAATTTCAGGGTTTTTTCTCTATCACTTCTGCCAATACCGAATTTAGTACCATTTAGTAGTTATGGTACAAATTTTGGACACATTTCTCAAACAACCTTCATACCTCAATTGCAGATGCCAACATTCACATATATAATAAATATCGGGATTTAAACTCTTTTTCTTCGCTCAATGCCAAATTTAGTACTATTAGTACTTTTCGTACAATTATAGTACACATTTCCTAAACCACCTCCATTTGTCCAGGCTATATATAAGCAGCGATCCTAATAACAAATTGCAGATTTCGAGAGCTATCTGTTCACCTTATACGAAATTGCACCAAATATAGTACTATTTCGTACTTTTCGTGCATTTGTAGCACATATTTCCGAAACCTACTCTTTATCACACACCTACCACCATAAGGAATCCCAATACAAAATTTCAAAATTCCAGCTCCTTCTATTCACCCCATACAAAACTGTACCAAATTTAGTACCATTTAGTACACTTTGCACAATTTGTACACATTTCCAACACTACCTTCATAATATATGAAAATTTACTTTCCAACTTTGATTCTCATATCAAATTTCAAGTTTTTAGCTCTATCCGTTCGCATAATACCAAATGGTACCATTTTAGAAGTTTAGTACCATTTTAGAACTTTTCCTAACCTTAAAGTTCTTATATCCTTAAAATTCGAAAACCCCTTGATACATCTATCCAGCACGCAATCCCAATACCAAATTTCAGATTTCAATATTAAATTGTACCAAATATAGTACTAGTTCGTACTTTTCGTACACTTGTTCTAAAACCACCTCTTTATCATAAACCTATCCCCAACAGGGATCCCAATACAAAATTTCCAGTTTCATCCGTTCATCCAAGAACAAACTGTTCAAAATTTAGTACCATTTAGTACAGTTCGCGCATTTAGTACAAATTTCCAAAACCACTTTCATAATATATCAAACTTACTTTCCAACCTTGATTATCATACCAAATTTCAAGTTTTTAGCTCTATCCGTTCGCATAATACCGAATGGTACTATTTTTCGAAGTTTAGTACCATTTTAGAACTTTTGGTAACTTTAAAGTTCAAATTTCCAAATTTCCCTTTGGTACATCTATATACTGCACTCTATCGGTGACTCTCATTCAAAATTTCAGAATCCAATACAGAGTATTGGATTTTTTGTATTTTGTCCAATACAAAGTATTACATTTTTGTACTTTTCGTACCTTTTTTGTACGAATTTGCAAAGACCTAGCCTTATCGTCATCATATCGGGACTGACTCTCGAATGGGTCAACCATCGATATTTTACTACTAGCAACTTACATTTGCCAATGCTGGAGTCATATTTGAAGTGATTTTTCCACATTAACCTTCTGAAATTTTATGGCATACTTTTAGGCGCTCACATTTTTAAGATACAAAGAAATTCTATAGTGTATGGACTGTATTTTAGTCGCCACTTGTCCGTTGGTCTAAAATTCAACTTGATTTGCAAACGTGTCTTGTCAATCGTTTACATCCAATTAGAGGGAAATACAGGGTGAGATAAAAAAACTGCAAACAAAGTCAAACGCCATAATTTTTTACTTTTTTATTTTTGAATTTTATTGAGTGAAAGCAAAACTTGTTGGAAATAGCATCAAATTTAAGAATAAGTTTAGATTTGTTCGAATTGGTCACCTTTGGCATGAATTATGGCCTTCAAACGGCCAATGAAAGCGTCACACGCAGCCCGAATGCTGCTCTGCGGTATTTTGGCCCATTCCCGGCGAAGAGCTTGTTTGAGGTGATCGACATTTTGGTATTTTTTGTGCCAACCTTGATTTCTAAAATACTCCAGACACAATAGTCCTACGGATTGGTATCCGGTGATTTTGCTGGCTATTGTGCGCTGGAAATGAAGCGAGGAACCTCATTTTGTAACCATTCTTGGATGGCATGCGTCGAGTGCGATGGTGTTGAGTCCTGTTGGAATATCCAAGGTCCGCGGCCAAAATGTTTGCGTGCCCAAGGCTTTAATACACCTTCCAGATATTATCGCTACAATATTCGGCATTTATTCTGATGCTACGGACGATAAATACGAGCGAGAGTGACCATCGGCTGTTATGGCGGCCCACACCATCATTATGGCCGGCGCTTGAGTTCTGGTGGCCAACCGAAAGTGCACATTTTCAGCTGACCTCTTTGGCAAGTAAAAACGATCATTTTGTTTGTTTACAAACTGCTGGGCAACGAATGTTTTCTCATCGGAGATCGGAGTAAACCAAATTCCTCAGTTCACCATTTTCGGCAGTTCGAAGCAACTCTTTAGCTCTTTTGAGTCTATTTTCTTTCTGTTGCGATGTAAGTTCTTACACTCTTTGGAATTTTAATAGCTTTACCCCGAGCTCATTTTTCAAAATGTGCCGAATGGTATATTGCGATATGTTCAGCTCACGAGCCATTTTTCGGGCACTGCGTCACGGGTTTCGATCAAGTCGCTTCTTTACTTTTCGAACCATTTCTGCTGATGTTGATGTTTCCTTTCGTCCACTTCCTTGACGTCGGGCTACGCTACCAGTGTCACGGTAACAAGCGATGTTATGAGACACAAAAGATTTATTCACATTTAAATGCTGGAGTACTCTAACGATAGCCACTTTTGATTTTCCAGCCAAATATAAAGAAATCACACTATCACGCTTGACTTGGCCATCACGAATAACTTTTTTTCTGGAAAATTCTCACCAAAATGCCCGCTTTGTATGCTTGTAAACAATATAATGAGCTATGACTGGAATTATTTTACCCTGTATGAAGACGTGTTCCTCCATAAGTATTTTTTACATAAGCTGTAGTACTCACTACGAAATTTGAAACAAATCCGGTGGATAATGTCGCAAAAATCATCAAAATACCGAATATTGAGTGGTATCGTTATATGGGAGCTATACGAAGGCGTGGATCTGCATACACGATTTTTTTGTCATAGGCTGTAGCACCCATTAAGAACTTTAAGTACACAATTTGAAACAATTTTGACCCATTAGTTTTCTAAAATCATAAAAATACAGAATATTGGAAGGTATCGTCATATATGGGCTATATAAAAACGTGGACCGACATGGGTCATATACGAACTTTTTTTTTTGTACGATACTTTTTATACCCTTAGCCATGTGGTTAGAGAGAGAGAGTATATATCATTTGATACGGCTAAAACGTGCCTCATCGAAAAAAAGGTTTTAGACCCTAGGTGGTTTGGACCAAATCCGTTTCAGGACCTTTGGAGACGATGTCTGTCCGTCTGTATGGTTGATACACACGATAACCCTCGAATGGAGTATCCGTATTATATTTAACAGCTATCGGACGAGTGGCTTAGAAGTGACAGCAGTCTGAAGTTGGTTGCAGTTTTTTCATCTTACCCTGTATATGACAGCTATATTCAAATCTGTTTTCAAATTTCGATTTTTTTCTTCTTTCAGCTCATTCATCTTGGCCTGCTTGTATCGATTTTCCTTTTTGCCATTGCCAGTGCCCGACTCAATAGCCTGTTGTTTTTGGCCTTGGCCGGCACGGCTTTGGTATGGACCTGCGTTACCGCTCACAATTACTTCCATCGGCGTGATAACTGGCGTATGTACACCTTCAACTTGTCGATGTTGAATTTCTGTTCATGGCGTGTCTCGCATGCCATGTCACATCACATCTATCCGAATTCATATTTGGATTTGGAATTATCGATGTTTGAACCGTTGCTGTGTTGGATACCCAATCCCCACATTAAAAGTATGATGATGCGTTATGTATCGTGGATTACGGAGCCGTTTGCCTATGCCATTGCGTTCTTTTTGCAGATGGCTACAAGGTGAGAGTACCACAAATTTCCGCTTTGATAAATAAAATTGAATATTTCTTCCATTTTTTTTCAGAATTTACTACTCCCTGACTCACACGAACATTATGTACTGGCATGATCTGATACCCCTGACCATACCCCTATCCATCTACTTGGGTTCGGATTGGCCCTTGGTGTTGTGTTTGCGTCAATGGTTGTATATGACAGCAATTGCCAGTTTTGCCTTCTGCGTTATTGGTCTGAATGCTGCCCATCACGATCCTGCCATCTATCATGAAGGTGATGCCAATCGTGAAGATCGTGATTGGGGTCTTTTCCAGGTGGATACCATTATTGATCGTGGGGATTTGAAAAAATCACAATTCTTGGTATTGACTCACTTCGGTGATCATGCTCTGCATCACTTATTCCCAACCCTGGATCATGGTATATTGCCACAATTGTATCCAATTCTGTATCAGACTTTGGATGAATTCAAGGGAGAACTGAGGGAATGCAATCACATTGAACACATTCTGGGGCAACACAAACAGTTGTTGAGAATCAAGCCGAATTTGAAGCCGCCAGGATCGAAGTAAGGGGTGGGCCACTTATTGGATAATATTTTGAAGTAGAGGTTAAAAATGTATAAACATATTTTTGTTATGTCGAACGTTTTATGATTGTATATAAATTGTATATATGAAGGGTGGTCTTAATAAAAAAAATTAACAAGTAAAAAAGTAGCAGAACTTTTAATACCCTCCACCATTTCGAAGGGACTTGAAAATATAAAAAAACTCCGTAGAAAAATGCTTCTCAAATTAAACCCTTTATAAGGGGGCTATAAGGGTGAAAAAACTGCAAACAACTTCAGACTGTTGTCATTTCTAAGCCACTCGTCCAACAGCTGTTAAAATTATTCCAGGGTACAATAGCATTTTTTTACAAGGGTACAATAGCATTTTGGTGGGAATTTTCCAGAAAAAAAGTTATTCGTGATGGAATCTAAGCGTGATAGTGTGATTTCTTTATATTTGGCTGGAAAACCACAGGTGGCTATCGTTAGAGGACTCTAGAATTTAAATGTGAAGAAATCTTTTGTGTCTCATACCATAGCTCGTTACCGTGGTAGCGTAGTCCGGCGTCAAGGAAATGGACGGAAGAAAACATCAACATCAGCAGAAATGGTTCGAAAGGTAAAGAATCGACTTCTTCGAAACCCGCGTCGCAGTGGCCTAAAAATATTCCATTCGGCAAATATTGCAAAATGAGCTCGGGGTAAAGCCATTGATATACCAAAAAATTGCAAGAACTTACACCGTAACAGAAAGAAAATAGACTCAAAAGAGATAAAGAGTTGCTTCGCTTGGTGAACTGCCGAAATTGGTTTTCTCCGATCTCCGATGAGAAAACATTCGTTGTCCAGCAGAGCAGTTTGTAAAAAAAAAAACAAAATTATAGTGTTTACTTGCCAAAGAGGTCAGCTGAAAATGTGCACCTTCGGTTGGCCACCAGAACTCAAGGGCTTGAGTGAGGCCATGGTGATGGTGTGGGCCGCCATAACAGCCGATGGTCGCTCTCCGCTTGTATTAATCGACCGTGGCATCAGAATAAATGCCGAATATTATCGCGAAAGTATTCTGGAGGGTGTATGAAAGCCGATGGTCGCTCTCCGGTCGTATTAATCGACCGTGACATCAGAATAAATGCCGAATATTATCGCGAAAATATTCTGGAGGGTGTATTGAAGCCTTGGACACGCAAACATTTTGACCGCAGACCTTGGACATTCCAACAGGTCTCAGACCATCGCACTCAGCATTCGACCACCCAAGAATGGTTATAAAATGAGGTTCCTCGCTTCATCTCTATCGAACAATTGCCATCAAAATCTCCGGATACCAATCCGCTGGACCATTGTGTCCGGAGTATTTTGGAAATCAACGTTGGCATCAAAAAAATACCAAAGTGTCGATCACCTCAAGCAAGCGCTTCGCCGGCAATGGGCCGAAAATACCGCAGAGCAACATTCGGGCAGCGTGTGACGTTTTTCATTGGCCGTTTGAAGGCCATAATTCATGTCAAAGGTGACCAATTCGAACAAATCTAAACTTATTCTAAAATTTAATGCTATTTCCGACATTTTTGTTTTCATTCAAAAAAATTAAAAAAAAATGTAAAACTTATGGCGTTTGACTTTGTTGCAGTTTTTTTATCTCACCCTGTAATGGTGATATCATGCACTCTATAGCAATGTTAAATGTTACAAAAGATTAGGGTGTCTTCGTCAAATTTAGTGAAAATTGATTCAGGGTTGGAAATGTCTCCCATATTTTAGTTCCCTCTGAAACCAAATTATAACTGCTCTAAAGCCTGAAATTGATAGGTGATACGATCTACTTCAAATAAATTCTTTTGTTACGGGAGTTCTACTAAATATACATAGCGGTGTAGGGTATCCTACATGATACATGATACTGTCTGCCCCGCCCGACTTTTGATTTTTTGTTTTTTTTTAGGAATTAACGTTGGGTGCCACTGTTATAATTGTCAGCCCTTATTTTTGTTTTTCCGTTATTATACCCTCAGCCATATGGCTACAGAGGGTATATATCATTTGATACGGTCAAAACGTGCCTAGTCGAAATTACAGTTTTAGACCCTAGGTCTCTTTGGACCAAATCCGTTTCAGGACATTTTCGAGTCAATCTAGTGATGTCCGTCCGTTCGTCTGTCTGGCTGGCTAGCTGGTGCACACGATAACTCTCGAAGGGAGTATTCGATTTGATTATTGATATTATTATTAGATATTATTGTCAAACATAGACCGAGTTCGGAGTTGGGCAATATCGGTCCACTCCATCAAATACCTCCCCCACAAATGGTCAAAATTTTGAATAATTACAACTCTTATAAAATGTGCTGTATGAGTCCGATTGTCTTCAAAATTCACACATCCCAAAATTTACATTAACCCAAGGTCTGGTGTTAAGATTAAATATATCGTTCCACTCGTTCTGCTACCTCCCCCACAAATGGTCGAAATTTTCAAAAAATATATATTTTTTTGCACAGAAAGAGAAACGATAATCCGATTTTGCTCTAACTTTGCATATCCTAATATTTGCATCAGTGCTAGGTCAGGTGTAAAAATGGAGCATATCGGTCCACTCCATCAAGTACCTCCCCCACAAATGGTCAAAATTTTGAATAATAACAACTCTCATAAAATGTGATGTAATAGTCCGATAGTCTTGAAATTTCACACATCCCAAAATTTATATTAACCCAAGTTCTGGTGTTAAGATGGAATATATTGGTCCACTCCTTCTAGTGCCTCCCCCACACAAGGTCGAAATTTTCAAAACAAAATATATTTTTTTTTCTGCACAGAAAGAGAAGCGATAATCCGGGTTTACTCCAACTTTGCATCAGTGCTAGGTCAGGTGTGAAAATGGACAATATCGGTCCACTCCATCAAGTACCTCCCCCACAAATGGTCAAAATTTTGAATAATTACAACTCTCATTAAAAGTGATGTAAGTGTCCGATTGTCTTGAAATTTCACACATCCCAAAATTTATATTAATCCAAGTTCTGGTGTTAAGATGGAATATATTGGTCCACTCCTTCTGGTACCTCCCCCACAAAGGTCGAAATTTTCAACAACAAAAAAAAAAAAAAAAATCTGCACAGAAGGATAAGCGATTATCCGGGTTTGCTCCAACTTTGCAAATCGTAATATTTGCGTCAGTTCTAGGTCAGGTGCAAACATGGATAATATCGGTCCACTCCATCAAGTACCTCCCCACAAAGAGTAAAAATTTTGAATAATTATAAGTCTTATAAAATGTGATGTAAGAATCCGATTGTCTTAAAATTTCACACATCCCAATATTCTTATAAAGGGTATACATCTTTCGGAAAAACCGACCGATATTTTTTTACTAGTTTTTTTTTCTAGCAATTAACGTTGGGCGCCACTGTTATTTTATTTGTTTCAGGATTTGAAAAAAATTGTGAGCCCTTATTTTTGTATCTCCGTTATTCCTACGGCACGTTGGGCGCCACCATTATTATACCCTCCACCATTTTATGGAGGTTATATTAATTTTGTCATTCCGTTTGTAACTCCTCGAAATACTCATGTCAGACCCAACAAAGTATATATATTCTTGATCAGCGTAAAATTCTAAGACGATTTAGCCATGTCCGTCTGTCTGTCTGTGTGTCTGTCTGTCTGTTCGTCTATCTGTCTGTTGTAATCACGCTATCTTCGAACAAATTGAGATAGAAGGCTAAAATTTTGCACACATGTATATTTTGCCAGTAGGCAGGTTAAGTTCGTAAATGGGCCATGTAGGTACAAGAAATCATATAGCCCCCATATAACGGTACCTCCCGATATTCGGTATTTTGATGATTTTTGCGACATTATTCACAGGAATTGTTTCAAATTTGGCATTTGAAGTTCGTAATGGATACTACAGCCTAAGACAGAAAATAATCTATGTAGGTCTACGTCTTCGTATAGCCCCTATATAATGGTACCCCCCGATATTCGGTATTTTGATAATTTTAGCGACATTATTCAACGGAATCGTTCCAAATTTGTTATTTGAAGTTCGTAATGGATGCTGCAGCATTAAACAGAAAATGGGCCATGTATGTCCACGTCTTCGTATAGCCCCCATATACCATACCCCCCGATATTCGGTATTTTGATAATTTTAGCGACATTAATTACCGTAATCGTTTCAAATTTCGCATGTGAAATTCTTAATGGATACTTCAGCCCATGCCAGAAAATTGTCTGTGCAGGTGCACGTCTTCGTATAACGGTACCCCCTATATTCGGTGTTTTGATGATTTTAGCTACATTATAAACAGATTTTTCTTCAAGTTTCGCATTTAAATATTGTAATAACTTATGACAAAAGTTGCCTATGCGTATGAGTATCCGATAGTAAGTCTGTCAATTTGGTTTTCTGCCTTGTTGCAGGTCTCAAGATGTCATCTTCTGTGGAGAACTAAATATTTTTTGTTATTTTCGAACCCCAACAAGCCACAAATAACAAGCCCCCTTATAATGTTTTTTGTATTGTTTGTTTTTTGTAATAATTGTAAATAAAAAGATTTGTGTGTGTGTTTTTTTTTGTATTGTTTTTTTTATTCATTGCATTTGTTTTTTTTTTTTTAGAAAATGTGTAGTGTAGTTGTTTGATTGGTGTTGTTGCATTTTGTTTGTGTTTTCAACTTTCATCATAGATGACATTTGTTCGTATATATATTTATATATATAATAATATTCACATATAAGTAGTTACATATACATATAGAAATAGATACAAGTGTTAGCAAAAATAAATTAAACCTAAACACATACATACGAGTACATAAATGATATAAACGATTGATTGGTTGATTGATTGAATTTCCCCCTGGGTGGGAAATCAACAATGCTGGTGTTAAAAAAACATTTTTGGGGGCGTGATAATCTGACGGGGCTTGGGCCAGATTAGCAAATTAAATTTAGCTATACAATGTTGTTTTTTTTTGTGTGTATGTGTGTGTTTGTCTAATATATGTCGTTTTTACAACAATATGAGTAAAGGTTTTCGTTTTTGTTTTTTTTTTTGTGTTTTTTTAGGATTTTCATTTGGGCTGAAATCGAGTTATTTTGTTGTTGTTGTTTTTTGTTGCGTTTACAAAATGTCTT